CAGGGGCAGCCTGGGACTCGAGGCAAAGGACAGAACCTGACCCATGCACCATGGGCTACTACCCCTGCTCTGGGGACCGGGTGACCTGGGACCAAGCACTGTCACTCTCTGGATCTCTTTAACAATTTGGGGGTGACCACTGCCCCCTCCAGAGATTCAGAGTAGATGAGAGAAAGGACATCGGATGTTCCATCAGGACAAACAGGAGATTCCTAAGGTGGGTGCCTTCAGGTCTGGTTTGATCAAGGCTCCAGCTTGGTTTCTCTGACTCTTTCTTTTCTACAAACCGTTGACGGTGACATTGGGGTGTGGGGGGGGATGGCGGGGCCCGAAGCCCAGCCTCGGGTACAGGGGACTCGTGGTTCTGAGCAGGACGGAGCACACACCTGCAAGGCACTGTTTCCCGTCCCTCCAGGGTGGACTCATGTCCTAACCCTGCCCAGCCCCTTCCAAGTCCCCACCAGGACCCCGCAGCTGAGCAGGACAGAGCAGGCTCCGGGCCACACGTTTGGCAGGCTTCCGTCTGCTGCCCGTCCACCTCCTGCCCGCAGCCTGGGTTCTGCACCTCCTGGGCCCCCGCAGCCTGAGTTCTGCACCTCCTGGGCCCCCGCAGAGGAACAGAGACGACTTCCAGCCCCCGCACGTGCCCCACATCATCCCGCAGAGCACTCACCGTGACGTGGCTCCTTAAATGAAAAGTCCAGCTCTCGGGCACACTAGCCGGGTACCCAGGGCTCCGTGGCCACAGGGCACTGGCCACCACACTGGACGGTATAGAAACAGAATATTTCTGTTAGCTGGGCAGGGTGACACGTGCATGTCATCCTAGTGGCTCGGGAGGCTGAGGCAGGAGGATCGCAAGGTGGAGGCCAGTCTCAGCCACTTAGCGAGGCCCTGAGCCACTCAGCGAGACCCTGTCTCTAAAGAAAATATCAGAAGGGCTGGGGACGGGGCTCGGTGGACGGGTGACCCTGGGTTCAATCCCTGGTACCCCAAAATAATAAAATAAAATAGCAGGAGAGGGGGAAGGAGGGGTGCTCTGAGCTTTTGGAGGCCGTGGCTTGAGCAGATCAAACGGGTCAGGAGCAAGAGAGGGGTTCAAGACTCAGGAACCGATGGAGATGGCCAGAGAAGACAGAGTGACATGGACCCGGAGTCTTGGGCATTGCAGGGGGACAGGAGGCCGGATATCTAAGAGGGCCGTGTGGCTAGTGTCCAGATGTGACCCCTGGGTAGAGGACACGGAGGCCACAGTTCACCTGGGGTGAGGATCCAGGGCGCTGCTTCTATTCTACAAAAGCCCAGAGGCTATAAGAACGTCCCCCAGGCAGGGGACCTAGCACTGGGGACAGGTCTGTCTGGGGAAGCCGGGACCCCTCAACACTCCTCCGGTGGGGTAGCAGGATCGCGTCCATGTCGGTATTTCCCTGCTCTACTTGGCTACCAGGAAGCTCAACGCTAAGTCTGCAGGTCAACTTTTTAAAACTGTTGAAATCCAAGGTTCCTTCTTACTTCCTGCCTGGACTTGATGTCCCCTTAGGGTTCCACCTTGGCTGGCCCTGATTATTTGTTTGTCATGATAACTGTTTGGTGGAGCTTAACTGCTCGGAAATCCTAGATCTCAGCGGCTTCAAACATGATCACGGATTCTTTGGTCTCTTGTAACTAAAAACCCACCAGCCACATAAGCTGGACCTAGGTGGCTTCTCTCTCCCCCATGTTCAGGGATGTGGGCTCCACCGCACCTGCATCCAGGTGTGCTCCTTGTCCTCATGCTCATAACCCTTCTGCAGAGTTCCAGCCATCACACCCACATCCCAAACAGAACACAAGCTCTGGAAGAAAAAAAAACACCAGTTTCCAAGAAGCCCCGCCCATCAACTTCCGCTTCGAACTCATTGGCTCGGGCTGTGCCCCGGGACCCACCCTTAGCTGCAAGGGAGGCTGGGAAATGTAGTTCTTTGGACACAGCACCACCCTGAACAAAACCAGAGGCCTATTACTCAGAAGAGAAGAAGGATGTTGGTTAGGTAAACGGCGACGTCAACTGTTCAGGGCAGCTCTAAGGATCCCGCTGTAAGCTCTGTCTTCCATTTCCATCCTAGCACACAGTTGGAGCTCAATAAATGTTGAGGGCTTGGAAAGAATGGAAGGATCTCTTAAATGGAGTGAGCGTCCTGATCTCCACCAGACAAGTGCCTATGGCCCAGAGACGGTGAGTGAGTTTCCCAAGATCACACAGCAAATTCATAGCAAAGACGAGAACCTGCGTCCTCAGAGGCCGGTTTCAGGTTGAACCTGGTCCTGGACCCAATTGGGCCCCGGAAGCTCCTCAGGCCGGGGTCCGTGCGTTTCCCAAGACCCAGAGATGCCACCCCACACCGTGGACGTCACACAGCGGGGACCAAGCGGGGGAGGCTAACCAGAGCCAACTTGGCCCCTCCTAAGCCAGTGGGCATTTATGGAGTGCCAACTGGGCCCGGGGAGGCCCAGGGCGGAGGAGGGCGATCATTCATCACAAGTTTTGACCAAATTCAAGGTGAAACTGGGCAGCAGCGACCTGGAGAGGGGAGGCCATGGTTCCCCGCCATCTCCCGAGGTCAGGAGTGTGCTGGGAGGCGCCTTCCAGCAGACCGTGAAGAGGGGACCTGCCCCTCTCTGCTGTCCCTCCATACAAGCCGGGGACACCCCCCCCTCCCCGGGTTGGCGCCTGGACAAGTCGCCACCCGAATCCCAACGCGGCCTCAGCCCTGGGAGAGGAACCAAAGTCCCCTGAGCCCGTCACGTGATTGACAGCTCCCAAGGCCACCTGGGCCCCTGGCCACTCGGAGTGTCCCCAGAGGTCACCTCCTTGACATCATCAGGGTCTTTTTTTTGTCCCTTTCCTGAAAGGCGGAGGCCGGGCCGGAGTCTCCTTCACAGCACACACAATGACGGGCCCCGCTGGGAAAGTCACTCACGCGGCCTCTGACTCACGCGTCCTTTCTGGAACGACACAAGTGACTTCTCTTCCCACTGAAGGTGGCTCCGAGGGCGGGAGAACCTAAGAGGTGGCTGGGGGTGGACAGGGAGAACCTGGACATCTCCTGGAGACCACCTGTCTCCGGAGGATCAGAGAGGGTGTCACGCTGGACCGTGGTCACACAGGAAGACGGAGCACCGGGAACAACTAGCCCACCCCCTGGAGCACCCTGGCAAAGCTCCGGCTGGCTGCAGGGATCCCCAGTTTGTCACTCCGTCAAATGGCCGTGGAGTCCAGCGTGGTGGTAGGCACACACCTGTCAACCCAGTGGCTCGGGAGGCTGAGGCAGGAGGATCGAAAGTTGGAGGCCAGCCTTGCCCCCAGTTGGATTGTGATGCTCCTGACCACAGCAGGGGACCCCCGACCCCCCTCGGCAACCCAGAACTGTCCCCCCTTGCCCTCCCCTACCCCAGAAGCCACGGTGACCTTGGGATGCCCTGAGAGACTGCTAAGGGTAGGCACTTCCGGTCAGGAGCTGGGTGACTCTGGGCCAGTCTCCTGCCCTCTCTGGTCTCCGTTTTCTCTCCGGGCACAGCGCCAGAGGACATCTAGGTCGGGCCTCCAAGTCCAAGTGCCTTCAAAAACCTGAAACGGGGGATCAATGACTTGTAAATGACAGGCTTAAGCGATGGCTTCCGATCCAAAGATGTCATCGGGACTCCGTCCATGTCCTCCTCCCACCCCGCAAGGCCACTCAACCCCTGAGCCACCTCCCAGGACTTTTCCGTATTTTATTTAGGGACAGGGTCTCACTGAGTGGCTGAGGCTGGCCTCCAACCTGAGATCCTCCTGCCTCAGCCTCCCAAGCCACTGGAATGACAGGCGGGCACCACAGAGCCCAGCCAT